TACTGTTACAATTCCATCAGTGCAAAACACTTAAAAATCCTATATCAAAGTTACTTTATGATAAAATGTAAAAATTATAGCTACACAACAAAAAACCTAAAATTCAAGTACTATCAAGATTTAAGATAAAAACAAGATCTTTATAATTGAGCTTTTGTATTAACTTTGCCATAAAACAGTTGTATTAATGAACCATGTCATATTAGTTATTTACAAAAAAAAAGTAACAGAAACATACCAAATCAGTCATCCAATGCTAAATACTTTTAAGTTAGCTATCATGTTCAGTTTTATAGTGTTAATTAAAAGCTTGAAAGGAGCATAGGGTTGATACAAAAAAACAGCTATCTCAAATTTGGAAGCCTAGAATAATTTATTTCCCAAAGAAAGCAATAAACATTAATAGCTAAGTAACATAATGATCCATACTACCTCCTCTTAAAAAGAAAACTTCCTCATTTTCTCATTTAATGTATGGCCTCAAGGCCATGGATGCTGACATTTCTTATGGTTAAAAAGCTCACCAGTTCTAAGTTCTTCTAAAAGGAATGTGCAAGTCAGCCACACTTGGCAATTTATGTATTGTGGCTTTGTAGTGGGTACTACCATTTTCTAAGCACTAACAAAAGTGTAATAAATTTGAGGCAAAACATAGTATGTAATCAACTACCTTGAGTGTACTTTCCACTGCATATCTCACGATTACTTTTAAATACATTAGGGCTTTAAGATGAAAACAACGTTACTTTTCAGTGCTCCCTTTCACTGTAGTTTTTAGATAATCTATCCTGTGCATATCATCCTTAAAAAAAAATGGGAGCTAAGTGTTATTAAGTTATTAATGGGTAAGAGGGAAAGAGAAGAAACAAAAACAAAAGTGCTTTAATGAACCAGTTTCTAGCTGGGTGCTGGTGGCTCACACCTGTAATCCTAGCTACTCAGGAGGCAGAGATCCAGAGGATTGCAATTCAAAGCCAGCCCAGGCAAATAATTCACAAGACTATCTCGAAAAAAATCTATCACAAAAAAGGGCTGGTGGAGTGGCTCAAGCAAACAAAAACAAAAACAAAAAAACAAGATCCAGTTTTCATCTGACACCAACCATAACATTTATAATGAACCAATTAACTCAATGATATGTAAAAGTTGTAATAATCTGGTGAAATATTAATTTAAAAGTGGCACTTTACTGTAGAGATTCAGAGAAAGAACAGGTTTCACCAAATGATCCCCATGGAGTCTCAATCCCTTATAGGCCCCTCATCTTTTCCTGCTTATCTCATATAACTTGCTCATCTTTCTTCCTTCTAACGTCACAGGCCCTGGCTAATGTTTTCCTCATAGTAGACTGCTGGCAAGCTGCTAGGGTTCTATGTGTGCGGGGTGTGTGTATGTGTGTTATAGCATTGGGAGTGTGAGGATTAAACTTATGAGTGAGACAGTATAAATGGATATTTGTTAGTAATAATAAAGTATAGAATTCTCTATCTATGTATTTATCTATATCTATATAAAGCATCAAATCTAGACAGAAACACACCTGTATAAAGAGGTGCATAAAAGAATGGTCACACTAGTGTGAATTAACAATACAACCTCAATGTCCAACAAGAAGGAATAAATAAATTATTGTATAGCCATGCATCTTTTTTCTTTAGTGGAGTAAGATATTTAAATAATTACATGGAAAAACCTATGTTACTGATTAAAAACTTAAGATGCAGAATCCATGTAAAACATGCCATTTGTGTAAAACAAGGGATAAAAAATATTTCTAAGGAGATATTTTTATATGAGTGCATAGGAAAGGTCTGGAGGTAGTTCAAGGAGATTTACTTTAAAAAAAAGTTTTTTTCCTTGAGCCTGAGTCTTACTTTGTAGCCCAGGTTGGCCTTGAACTCATTATCCTCCTTCCTCTGCCTGTGGAGTGCTAGGATTATGAGTGTGCACCACCATGCCCAGTTTTATATTTTAAACTTTTTGTAAAAATATATTCATGCATTACTTAAAAGCATAAACAACTGAGAGAATTAGAGCAGAGTAAATATTTTCTTATAAAATTATTCTTTACATATTTCCCCCTAACATTACTTGTATTTTAATGTGTGGTGCTGACAGAAGAGTAAAAGTAAAACAGAGTGAGTTATGTGAAAATACCTGTATTTTGCCAAACTCAGCTATTTTCAAGTAATTCAAAGCCTATGCTGTCTGTGCTTGAAACTGTTATGATGTAAACAGTTAAAAGCTGCAGCAATCATCAATTATCAGAATGCCTGAAAAATGAGACAGTTATGTTTTAAGTGTTACTTACAAGTTCATATGTTTATGTCCACGACTAACCATTTCCAAGCTTAATCTCTTAATTCATAACCCACAGTCAAAACAAAAAAGCCAAGTGAAGGTGAACTATTATTTACTCAAGACCCCAAACTAAGCAAGTTGTACTCATCTGCAATGAGACAGATTAACTGGTTAAGAGAGAGGTAGGGATTAGTAGAGAGTAGGAGAATTCCCCAATAAACACAATACCCTTTTGGAAAGTTATATACAAAGGTGGGCAAGACACTATTTTTCTGAGCTTACAGTATAATCACTTTGATTCAAGCACTTACTAGAGTCCTATGCTAAATTCTTAATGTGTATTATTTCAGTTACTTCCCACACTATAACTGCAGTGAAGATTAAAAAGAAATTACAGACAACACTCTTCATATAATGCCTGATGTCACCTCAACAGCCCTCACCCTATTGCAGTCAGCTTTTCAAAAGACTCACTAAGAGCTCTTCAACAGATTCCTGTCTACTAAGTTTAGTCCAAAATCCTTCACCTGACATTTGAAAATATGGACAACATAGCTCCATTTCCATCAAATCCCAACTATTCTCTAAGCAAACTACATTGTTATAATTTTTTAGAATACTTAACTGAGGAATACTCACTCTTGCCACCCTCCAAGGAATTTTATCCTTTAAAGTTCAGTAGAAATACTACCTTCTTCACAAAGCTCATTCTCTCTGGCAATTTCAATTATATTGTTTACAGCTCTATTAGTACTTTCATACCACAACTGTCCCTCAGTATCCAAGGGGGATTAGTTCCAGGACCTTCAAAGATATCAGAATCAGCAAACACTCAAGTATCTTTTATAAAATACATTTGCATATAACCTATGCACATCCTCCCATATTCTTAAATCTCTAGATTACTTATAATACACAATGCAATGTAAGTTATATGTAAATCATTGTTACACTACCTTGTTTAGGGAATAATTTTTTAGAAGTCTGTATATATGCATTCAGTTCAAATGCAACCATTTGTAAGCTTAATTTTTCAATCTGTGTGTGGCAGGTGCAGAATCCATGGCTATGGAAGTAGAACATATTTGTCATAAGCTCGCTGAAAGTGAGGTTCATTCATTTCTATATCCCTACTGTACCTAGCACAGTATTTTATGCACAATTTATATTCAATAGCATAGAAGATTTTCATTACTAATAGCACCTCTGAAAATAAGATCTGATATTCATATACAATTCTGTCTTTAATGTTCCCTTTAATTCACCTAACTGTGGTAATAGCCATATAGTAACTCTGTAGTTGCTCCCTTTCTAGCTCTAATTCATTATCAGTGAGTACAAGTCTTTCAATATCAAACAAATAATGTGGTACACAATCAATGACCTAACACTAAACTGCTTGGCGCTAACCTCAGTATGCATTAATATTGGAGAAGGAAATATAAGGAAGGGGTTAGACATGTGCTATAATATTAGGGTTATCTGCTAAAATTCATAATTGGGATACAAAATTCCTTTGTTCAATTCTGGGTAATCTAGGTGAACTGAACTTTAAAATCAAAAGATATATATGGCTATCTACTCATTTAGTACCTTTCATGGATAAATTCTGTTTCTAAGTGTATACAAATTGGTCAGAAGCAATTAATGATCTTAAAAGCTAACTGACTTGGTTTTCTATCCATTTCTGAGTAGTTTTCCTTGGTTAAAGTCTATAGCATTAAGAAGCCTCAGGGTTTTTTTGTTGTTATATTTGAGGATAATTCCGTTTTTCTTTTTTTGACTTTCTTACTTTGGTTTTTGTTCTTTTTTTTGGCAATAGTGGGTGTTGAACTCAAGGCCTGGTGCTTGCTAGGCAAGTACTCTACCACTTGAGTCACATTACCAAGCCCTTTTTGTGTTGGTTATTTTTGAGATAGGGTTTTGTATGCCTGGACAGGCCTGGACTGTGATCCTCCCATTTGTGCTTCCTTGCATAGCTGGGATAGTAAGTGCCCATCACTGTGCCCAGCCACTACTTGAGATGGTGTCTCATGAAGTTTTTTGCTCGGGCTGACATCAAACTGCAATCCCCCTGATCTGAGCCTCCCAGGTAGCTAGGATTAGGCTTGAGCTACCATGCCCAGTCTCTTATCTGGCTTCTTTTAAGCAACCAAGTAAAAAAAAAAAATTACCTAATATTAGTCATATAATTCCATTAAGAATTTAACTGAATACATATTCAGCTGTATCCAGAAATATTACATGATTTTCAATTACTGAAGAATGTATTAGCACAGAGCAGTTGAGGCTTTCAGGAAGGAGCAACTGATTTAATTCCTTGTACTACTTGTACCACATGAGAACCTCTTAAAGGAGGATAGTTGCTGCTGATATTTTTACCGAAGACCAGAGTACTTTTTGTACATGTAGAGGACTTGACTCAATAGCATTTCAAATTTATTTTTCTTGAACTATTTTTTGCATTAGTTTGCTACTACTAGCAAATAAGTTAAATCAGAAATATTTAGGCAAAAGTTATGTTAAAGTCAACACTGGCTGCACAAGTCAACACTAGCTGCATGTTACCTAGATGTTAGGGATGTTACTATATTTTAAAGCAAGAGAAGTACAAGTTCGGAAAATTTTGATTATTATACATTTCATAATAAGGCAGTTACACAGGCTAAGCTTGACTGGTGCCTTGGACTTTACCATACCTGGAAATAGAAAAATTCAAAATTGTAGCTGTTCTTGGTTGGCCCATTGCCATTTTTGCAGCTTACAAATTTTTAATTAAGTAACTGCAGTGAGCTCATCTCTACTGGATACTTCTTTTCCAGGGCAGGTCCAGGAACTGGGTCTGGAGCCTTGAAAGCAGAAGAGAAACTAGAGTAAACTAGAGGTAGGCAGAATAAGAAATGTGACCAGATAATATTATGAGACCTACTAGCAGCAAGGTACTTCCTAAATAATACATTTTGGAGGGGAAAAGGGTTTCTTAAATTACAAGTTACCAAAGGAAGCTATTTACTTAGGTTAGGGCATCCTCTTAATTTAACCAACTCTAGTCTGGACTCCCAATTACAAAAATTCAAAGAGTAGCTTTTCTTTTCTTGGAAGGTACTGGGGTTTGAACTCAGTACCTTGTGCTTATTAGGCAGGTATTCTACCACTTGAGCTTCCTGACCCCCCTTTCTTCCCCAGCCCTTTTTGCTTTAACTATTGTTCAAATAGGGTTTTGAGTTTATGCCTGGACTATAATCCTGAGTAACTGTAACAGAACAATGGTAAAATCCATTTTTATTGGTAAAAAGTAAAGTCATTATTTTCAGGTCATTTTTGTTCTTCCCTTTTTCTACTGAATTTCCTATCATCTTTTAACTGCTCTCCTCATTTCCTATGGCTACTTCTCAGGGGTTTCATAAGAAATACTTTAGATATATCCAAGCAACAAACTGAATTTCAAGTTCCATTTTTTTTTTTAAATAAAAACTTGGTAATTCTTAAAGAAGGAGGCAAAAAACAGCTCATAATATGTGGTTCTTAACCACACTGGAAATTCTTTTTTCCATTACCAAAATAGATTTGATGATTTAAAAAAAATTGTTAGGCCCATACAAAAACAAAAACCAAAAAAACCTGGCAACTATAAAGGTTACAGAAATGGCAGGATATTAAAAATGGTATACTATTGTACTAATTAGATTCTCTAGGGTCTACAAATCATGTCCTTATAGTTGGTGGGCTGGCACCCTTAAAAGTTTTTCTAAGAAACTAATCCCATAGCAGTCAAAATAAATTGAATTTTCTGCTGCTGTCAAATGTGAGAACTGTAACAAGACAAAAAAAGTAGTGAAAACAAGGATGCAAAAAACTTAACTCCCTGCATTCCTAGTAACTCTCAGTCAAAAGAGTTTCTGTGAAAAATGTAAACTTTCCATCATTTGTGATGGCACATTGTAGGGAAAATAATTCTGGAAGAGAAAGACCTACATTCAAATCTAATTTCAGTATGGCCTTGAGTTTAAAACTTTCTGCAGGTTTCCTTTCTATTAAATGACAAACTACCACTCATCTCATTGGACTTTAGCTAAAGTGCATAAAACACTGAAAACCTGGCACATATTAGGTATCTAATACATTTTTTTGCACAACTAAGGAATGCTCTAAATGTAGGTATTTTTAAGCTTTCATTTTTCATAAATGCTAAAGCAACAGTGAAATAATAAGCTTTGGATTAACTAAACTGCATCACATTCTAAAAGATAAATGATTTATCAACACTGACTTCAGAATAGCTACAAAGCAAATACAAGAGACAATTCAATTCTTACTGTTGATTTACGTTTAGGATACAAAGAGAATTTATTGTAAACAAGATACAGAGACACCCCTTTGAACATCAACTTAAATATTAATAACGAAAACCAGGACTGTAAAATAGGCACAGTGTGTGTGTTTGTATGTGTGTGGGGGGTACTAGTGGGAGGAGGGAGAGTGAAAGAAGGAGATTAAGGTGACAGTATATGGTTGATGGATTTCATATACCTGTATGAAACAGAACTAAAAAATCTCTTGCAATTGCTTTGGATGGGGTGGAGAAGGGGTTAAGGGGGAGAGACGATGAGGGAAATGTAAATAATGTACAAATAAGTCTGACTGGAACAGTCACTTTGAATTCCCCCCATATAATGCTAATAAAAAATTTTACATAAAAAAGAACATATATAATTCTCCCTCCAAGTGAAGTAGATAATACTTGTATCAACATATATTTTGTTTAAAAGCTATGGATCTGGAGTACAGTGATTTTTAAAAACCAGAAAAAGTAATCAATACATGATATAATGTGGTCTTTAAGTCAGGAAATACTTAAAAGGACAAAAAAAAAAAAAAAAAAAAAGAAAAAGCCTTACATTACATATGGGCAATAATTTTCCTCTTACTGATAGAATAGTGGGTTCCACACAAAATTATTATTTACCAAATATGGCTCAAAGATCAGATTACATCTTCTCTGACATTACAGAGTAATACAGCAAGCCACAAGGAATTCTTTAAAAAAATTATTTCCTTGTAGTCAACTCTAAATGTATTTATCACAACTTTTTCAAAATAGTTTTTAAAAGTTAACATGGAAGTATCCTATTCAAAATGGAGAGATGGTAAAATAAAACTGTTGTTATTTCTCAGAAAGAAAGAAAAAAAGGATCCCCCTTCACCAATCCATATGGATAGGCTTTCAGTTTAAAGACCACTGAAGGAAAAAAATACTTTAGAGACACCATAATGATGTATTTAATTTTGTAACTAGCCAACATACTGAAATCTCATTACTCACAGTAACATATCAGTTGATTTTATTGGCTTTTCCAGATCTGCAATGCCTTCTACAGATAATAATAAATTTACCTCCTCACTTTCAACAGCACCTGTTTTGCTTTTTTTGGTCTAATTACACTAGTTAGCATTACCAAGACAATGTTATATAACAGTAATGTTGGCCAAGCTTTTTAAATTCATGACTTTTGGGAGGGGGGGGGACAGAGTTTGAGACAGGGTCTCACTATTTAGTCCAGCTGGCCTCAAACTCACAATCTTCCTCAGTCTCTAGAGTGCTGGGATTATGGGCGCCATCACACCCAGCTTTGATGCATGACTTTTTAATAGGAATTTAGCATTTCACTAAATAAAAAAATAGCATTTACTAGTGGCTTCTGGTTCGAGACATGTGAAATCTTAGGAATATCTCTTCATTTTTGTTTTGTTAAAGCCTCTATATAGAAATAACTACTGAAATCCTCTTCACTCTCTTTTTGGTATCCCTCAGGGTACTCATATACCTCCAAGAAATATGAATTATTTGATCTATCACTACATTCCTAGAATGAGTCCCACTTGGTCACATTATTATTCTGTTGATGTGATGCTAGATTCCATTTGATAATTTTATTAAGCATTATTTGCACCACTTTTGTGAGACTGGTCTATAGTTTTCTTTTAGTCTATTTTACTATCATGTTATGCTGGCTTTGTAAAAAGAACCCAAAATTGTTCTTTATGTTCTGAAATAGTTATTTGAGGTTTGACGTTTTTGAAGAATTCAATGTTAAAAACTCCAGGGTGTGGTACTTTCTGCAGGGAATGGCCTCTTACTAGTAATATCAGCATTTGCATTTATGGCTCCAGACCCTGTCTATCCTCTTCTTTCACATTTCCGGAGGAAACCAAAGCCTTTTTTTTTTTTTTTTTAAATGTCTCCCTTTCAACCTATAAGCACATAGAAGTCTTACTCATCTTAAACACAAAGCCATGTATACACTCCGCACAAAGTTTTCCCTTGCCGGTTAAGTCTTAAAGTCATTCAGCAAGTATTATCCACAAAACTATTTATTAAAATTGCTGCTACATGTCCTGCCCTCTACTGCTAGTCTAGTAGGAAACATCAGCAGGCATGGAAGAAACTTCCACAGTAACTGAAGGAATATCCTGTACTATACTAGTTACCACTGATGACTTGTCAAACTTCTCTACAGAAGATTGATACCATGGCCAATTTTGTTTTAATCTGTCTTCAAGGCCTGTCCTTTGATAATATTTTAAATTCATATCACCAAATCCAATAAGCTCTTCTGGATCCTCATTCACCTTTTGACCACTTAAGTTCAGTGAACATTTTAAGCTTCCTAACTCATCACTGGATCCTCATGAAAACCACTAATGAGGGCTAGTTTTTTCCATTTCAAGGTTCAGATACTTAAGTAACTTTTTACTGGTTATTGAAACTAATAAGCAGCAGAGTTAGGATAGAAATGTGCTTGTGGTTTTCTAACTCCAGATCTAGAGTTCCTGCCTGTTTATTGCTCTAGTGATTAACTCATCATTTTGTTCTGGAAAACCCATCTCCTGGACAACACTGTGAGGACTTTAGTTTCCTAGGATCCTTATTTCTATGCTTCTTAGTGTCAAAAGGATGGTGGTAGGCCAGTCAAAGTGGGGTGTCACATGTCTGTAGTCCCAGCTTCTTGGTAAGTGTTCAGGAGGATTGCAGTTTGAGACCAATATGGGCAGAAGTTAGGGAGACCTTATCTTAACCAATAAGCATGACATGACGGCCCACATCCATGGTCCCAGCATGTGGGAGGCATAGGTAGTAGGATCACAGTACTAAGATGGCCCTGGGCAAAAATGGGAGATTTCCAGTACTGCCAAAAAAAAAAGATGGTGGTGCAAAGTTGTGACATTCATTTGTTCACTTGTTCCTCTGGTATCTTATTTACACTCATGGCATAATCTAAGGAAAATCTGTAAGTTGTAGATTAGCGCTCTATTCTGTTTGATGAAACTTAAGCATTCACAATCATAGAACTTGATGTTGAAAGGAACCTTTACAGATCCAACACCTTTACTTAAGATATAAAGCCTTAATCATATAAGTAAGCAGAATCTGAAATAAAAGTTTAATAAAGATAAAATTTACCTATTTCTTATAAATCATAAAATGCATACATTCATATATAGTAAATATGAATAAAGTAATTAAATAAATTTTAAGCTTAAATCAAGCCTTGCTTCATTTTTGTTAAAGATTTGTCCCTATTTCTAAGAGATTTTCTTTTTTTTTTAGAGAAGAGTATAAGCAATAAAGGAAGGAACAGGGTTTTTTGCTGGTTGGAGATAGGAGATAATATCAGGGCATATGACTCACATTGGATTTCCTGTGCGTGGGTGTTTACCTTCTAGTTAAATTCTTTTTGATCAACCTTATTCTCTATTCCCTGGTCCCCTTTTCCTATTGGGCCCAGTCTTGCTTTAAAGGTATCTCTTTAGTTCTCTCTGCGTTAAGGGCAACAAATGCTAGCTAGTTTTTTAGGTGTCTTACCTATCCTCACCCCTCCCTTGTGTGCTCTCGCTTTTATCATGTGCCATAGTCCAATCCCTTGTTGTGTTTGCCCTTGATCTAATGTCCACATATGAGGGAGAACATACATTTTTGGTCTTTTGAGCCAGGCTAACCTCACTGAATGATGTTCTCCAATTCCATCCATTTACCAGCGAATGATAACATTTCGTTCTTCTTCATGGCTCACAAAAATTCCATTGTGTATAGACTACCACATTTTCTTAATCCATTCGTCAGTGGTGGGGGCATCTTGGCTGTTTCATACTTGCTATTGTCAATAGTCTGCCATAAACATGGTGTGCAGGCTGCCTCTGGATACAGTCTTTTGGGTATACTCCCCAAGAGTGGTATTTGGATCAAATGGAGATTGTGTGCTTTAAGTAGCCTCCAATTTTTTTCAGAGTGGTTGTACTAGCTACATTCCACCAACAGTGTAAGAGGGTTCCTTTTCCCCGCATGCCTCGCCAACACCTGTTGTTGGTGTGTTTGCTGATGTGGCTATTCTAACAGGGTGAGGTGGAATCTTGCGTGGTTTAATTTGCATTTCCTTTATTGCTAGCGATGGTGAGACATTTTTCATGTGTTTTCTGGGCCATTTGAATTTCTTCTTTTGGAGAAAGTTCTGTTAGTTCACGTGCCCATTTCTTTATTGGTTCATTAGTTTTGGGAGAATTTAGTTCTTTTAAGTTCCCTGTATATTCTGGTTATCAGTCCTTTGTCTGATGTATAGTTGGCAAATATTTTCTCGCCGACTTCTGTGGCGTGTTCTAAGAGATTTCTATACTGACCAGCAATGTATAAGCCATTTACCAAGAGTGGAATTTTAAAAGTGCTTGGAGAATTTAGTTCTTTAAGTTCCCTGTATATTCTGGTTATCAGTCCTTTGTCTGATGTATAGTTGGCAAATATTTTCTCCCACTCTGTGGGTGTTTCTAAGAGATTTTCTTATATGACAACAGCAATGTATAAGCCCATTTACCAGAGTGGATTTTAAAAAGTGCAGAATAGCAATAAGGTTAAAACCTACTCAATCCTATATATCAATGCATTAACTGTAATAATGATGCTAATGTTTGCCATGTTTGAACAAGGAGTGCTTTTACATACAATCCTATTGTTATGAATGTGGCCACGGTAATGACTTGACTATATAAAAAAGTATCTATTAGGGGCCAAATACCTCACTCCACTCCTTTGAGTCTCTTGTCCAGGTTTTGTTCCTACGAGTAGGATCTCAGCCCTCACTTTCCTTTCTTTCCATTTACCCTTAACCCAGAAACACTTTAGATTTAGGCAGTCTGTTAAAAGGCTCCTCACAGGCTGCTGAAAATCATGAGCTCCTTTTAAAAGGAAATTTTATGCTTCAATACTTCCAAGCTGTACCATGATAAAGAATGCATGAAAGATATAAGAGAATCTCAATGTGAGAATCTTAATTGTGTTTATGTTTACTTGAACTCTTCCTAGTTTTTCTCAACTTCCTATGTCAGAAGGAGTAGTTCTTTTTAGCCTGAAAACTGAAACTACCTTAACTTTCTTCTTGCCTTTCCTTCCTTATCTTTACCCTCCTCTTCCTTTCCTTACCTTTACCCAACTACTTTAACATTCTTCCAAACATAACTCCTAAGATTCTCTCACTGGATGTTGAAATACAGACCACAAATCACTGCCATAGTTCTAAAACCTAAGAAGTTCTGAAAAGATTTTTTTTCCTCCATGAAGCTTCATGTCAAAACTCATCTGGTAGTGGCAAAACTCTGTCCTGAGTTGATATAAGACTATTTATAGGCTTGATTTAGCTCACTCACATAGTTCCATGTTTCACTACAGAAATACCAACATTTAATTGCCGAGTAATGTCCTTTACCTTGCTGGGGGATTTATATAATATGCTACGTATCTTCCCAAAAAAAAAAAAAAAAAGTTCTAAAATACAGTTGGCCTCAGGCTTTCAGAAAAAGTAAGGTCCATAAGAACCCTAATTTAGGTTACCTATTCTTAACTTTCCTCTTGATACTTTCCCTTACACCACTCCATGTTATTTAAGTCCCCATACCATAAAGTTCTACCATTTTTTTTCCTCCCAAATCTCTTAAAATTCCCCTCCAAAAAACCACCAATGTGGTTTTCAATACCTTCTCAGTTTGGTTCTAACCAAACCAGGGGTAATGGGCCCCTCTGGTGGTCTCAAGAAAGCTACAGAGTCCCTCTTAAGAGTGGTTTTGAAATGCATAAAATATAATACCTATGATCACCAAGAAAGCCAATGTACAGTTAATTACTTTTGAAAAGATGGTGGGGCTTTGGTTGGTGGGTTTTTTTTTTTGTGTGATACTGGGATTTGAACTCAGGGCCTTGTGTTTGCTAGGCAGGTGTTCTACCACTTGAGCCATACTCCCCAGCCCCTTGTTCTGGTTTTTGAGGCAAAGTCTCACAATGTAAACCAGGCTGGCCTAGAACTCTCCATCCTCCTGCCTCTGCCTCCTGTGAGCTAAGATTAAGGCATGTGCCACAGTGCCCAGGTGAAAAAATGGTTTTAAATGCATAAAATAAAATGTACGATTATCGAAATAATACCCAATGATACTGAAACACAATTACCTTACTGTGACATATTAATATACACAGGCTTCATTGTCATCTTTGTTTTTTGTTTTGTCTTCTTTTGTTTGAGATACGGTCTTACTATGTAGCCCAGGCTGGTCTGAAACTCACAATCCTCTCCTCCACTTCCCAAGTGCTGGGTCAGGTATATGTTACCACATCAGGTTTATATGCTTCTTTATTAGCATATAACACACAAAATCTAGCAGAAGTCTAAAAACAATCATAATTTTAAAGTAGTAAATATTTGCAAATTTTACAGAGATATACACAATTACAAAGTAATATGGAAATCATCTGTGCATTTTTCTGTTGGCAAAATAGACATAGATACTGCTAATACTACTGGGGTTTGCTTCCTTAAAAATCGTACCAGAGGGAAATGCTAAAGTTCAGTGCAAAGCTAACAAAAATATCTTTTTTCCTCATCCAAAATGCACGTATATCTCTAAATTCTATTCTCAAATCTCTTTAGGGTCATGTAGCCTAGATTAAAACCCCTCTATTAAATCCACCTACTTTTATTTCCCACCAGTCCCCACACCCCTAGGAATCCAGTCAGGCTTGTTTGAACACAAACAACCTCCCTCAGTACCTACTGCCTTTGCTTAGAATATTATTCTCCACCTTGACGTTTATCAAAATTATAACTGCCTCTTCTAAACCAACTCCAGTTTCACCTCCTTCTTTAATCCACATGGGCTCTATTCCTAGAACTACTAATGTTCCTGTGGATCAACACTTTATGATTCAACATGTAATCATTCTCTGATAAGGAAACTTCTTTGGGGACACAGACTACGTGCTTAAACAGAACACTGCCTATATATAACATAGGCACATAAAATGTATGCACGTAGGTAGGTGCTCTCATGAAAAGGCCAAAAATTCCACTAAGCAGCTAAAAGAGAAATTATAAATTAAGCTTATCTAAAGTTCACTTGTATGAGAGTGTAGATATCCCTATTTATTAAAAATCCAGAAACTCACTTACTGGACAGCAATGAATTTCAAATAATAAATCAGGGAATAAACACTAAAGAAGGCATGAACAATGATTCATTCCTCAAACATCTGCTAAGTACATACACCATGCCAGGCAGTGTTCTAGAGTCCATGGCTTTAATTCTCACATAACTTTGTGCCAGAATGTGAACTAGAACCTGGGGTTCCTTACTCATTCTGAAGCTCAGAAACAAACAAACAAAACCCAACTTTCCCTTTCCAGAAAGGGTTTAGTATATGCAAGGTGTGTATGTAATGAATGCTCCCTATTTTCAGAAAGCAGCAAAGCACCTAAAGCATTATAGAGAAATAGATTTGGAGCTAAAAAAAAAAAATCTGTGTCTTGCTACATAATATAGGTATTTTAAAACATCTAATAAAATCTATATAAGTTTCAATTATCTTGTGGAAGTATTTATTACCTAATGACACTAGAAGATGAGGTATTACTTTACCTCTCTAATATTTGAATCATTAACAATGAAGTTTTCATTTCCTTCAAAGATCTCTAACAAATTGTCTCATTTAGCTCATGTAAAAATGTACCTATCAATAACCTGAAGTGGTATATTTGACTGGTAAGTAATCTTTTATATTGGGAGGGGGACCAAAAGAGGGGATGGAATGTGGGTAGGAAACAAGGAATTGCTCTCTACACATTTCAAGCTCTACTGCTGGTAATGACTTTTTCATGACTACTGTTGGAAACTTCCTAAAACGAAGTTCTTAGACTAATAGCAATGGAATTCAGACAGTGAGGGGGGAAAGACGGGGTAGTACTGGAACGAGTAAACTAAGAGCCTGACAATACCATGTCACCAACCTAAACTCATCTTCTTCAAAACCCAATGCACTGCCTCCCACCCAATAATGTATTTCTGATAATTATAAATAGTATGAATATGAAACAAGAAACTTCAGAATTATGTCTCCAACTCTTTTCTTTTCCACATACACCAATGGCCAAGTTTCACTCTCACAAGTGCTCAAGCATTTGAGGTACAACCCTAGCCCTTTTTACTTTAATTTGTTCTTAGATAGGAGCTTGTTTTTGTACCTTTGTCTGGGCTGGCCTTGGACCATGATCCCCCTCCCTCCATCTCCTGAGTAGCTGAAATTACAGGTGTGAACCACCAGGCTCAGTCCTTTAAAGTTTTTAAATAATAATTTCATAACAGTATTTTCTACTAATAGCTTATACTTAGTAAGTGCTAAGTACTGGGCCAAAGGATTTATGATGTGTTTGCCCATTAGTGCTTCAAATAATGTGACAGATACCTCTATATTAGACTCAGCTGACCACATATATGCCTCTCTTTTAAAATGTACACAAGAGGGCTGGTAGAGTGGCTCAAGTAGTAACAGTGTCTGTCCAGCAAGCATGAGGCCAAGTTCAAACCCCAGTCCCACAAAAAAAAGTACACAAGAAATTTCTCATGGGATAGACTACTATGGATTTAACAATCCATTCAACACAAGAAGTCTGGGCTAACAGATGAAATCTGCAGAAATTCATTACTACTAGGGAAAAAATAGCAAAACAAAATCTGTGCCTCATTGATCTCGGGTTAGTGATGTTTTATACATGGATGCATTCCATGTATATAACTAGCAGTGGAATGCTTGTTTAAAAGCATCAAGGTACTATCCAGAAAAGACACTTGACCATAACCTATATTCTGGAATCCCGAACTCATTTATTTTCAGAGCCAAGCAAATCTACTAGCTTTAAACTTTGGTAGTCTATAGTCATTCATTTACTCACAAATATTTAGTAATACCTCATCATTCTAATGATGTTAAAACTTAGCATTTATTGAGAAACAGTAAAAGTAAACACAGTAATTATAATACAACTTAGTAAATCCTAATAGGTAAATAAAGGTGCCAGAAATATATAAACTACCAATAAAGTATCATTAGAGTTAATAATTACAACAGGAAAAAAATATGGTGTTTAAAAATATTTTCCAGAAAACTTCAATATAAAATAAACAAATCTGAGTGGAACTCAGAAGATGTGTCTTTACCAAGTCTCTATGGCTGAGGGTAACCCTTTCCTTTCACCAATTTATTTCTGGCTCTAAGTCTCTCTGTTAGCTATTTTGCATTTTTGTTTTCAATTTCTCTCTAGCTGTTTTTATCTACAAGAAATGCTGTCACAGAAAACCATCTGGGCACTTAATAACAGTGTCAAACACTTTCCATGATATTCACAGAGTGACTTCATTTTATAAAGACTTAGGAGAAAGTTCTGAAAATTAGCAAAATACTATGATGACTAATATTTTAACAATATACCTAGCATATAAGTATGATTAAAGACATATTATAAAAGATATAATTTCCAAAATATCCATCCCTCAAATTATCTCTCAATCACATACTCTGGTGTCTTAGCGTCAGATACCCAAAAGTCTGTTGATACACAGAACCAATCCAAATTTTCACAAAGTTCTTCACATGTGAAGAGAATGTGACTTTTTGCTAACAAAATGAAGTACAGTAAATAGAAAGTAGCTACAGGTAGAGTTTTTTAAACAAATACTATCATAATTTCCTATACATCAACTCCACTGAATACTCACAAATTTCTATTTCTAGCCTGAATCTCACCGAAATTCCATTTTGAGTATCAAATGAATTGTCTACTTACTATCGCCAGTGATATGACTAAAAGGCATGTCAAAATTAATGTGTCCAAAAACAAGCTCCTGATCAACTAGCCCAGTCTAAACTTGCCATTTCACCATTCTTCCCCAATTCAGTCAACAGCAATTCCATACTTCCAATTGCTTGTGCCAAAAAATCTTGGAAGTCACCCTTGAATTTTCTTTTACCCTCACATCCAATTCATCAGCAATTCCCGCCCACACAGGGTTTGAAACATAGCCAAAATCTGACCTCTTTTCACCCTTTCCTGTTACCACCATGATCCTAGCCACTATTACCTCTCATCTGGACTACTACAGTAATTTCCAATATGGTCTCTGCTTACATCTTTGTTCCATTCTTATAGTCTACGCTACACAGAGCAAACATTTACTAAGAAAAGTTATCAGTTTAAAGAAGAAAAGCAACATAATCACACAGATTGATATAAAAAAAAGCATTTGACAAAATTCAAGACCCAGTCATGATAAAAACTTAACAAACAAGGAACAGAAATGGAACTAACTTAATAAACAGCATCTAAAAAACCCTGTAGCCAACATATGCTTAAGGGGAAAGACTGAATCTTTCCCCTTAAGACCAAGATTAAGAAAAACTTGTTTTCCTTCACCATTTCTATTAAACATATTACTCAAAGTGGTAGCCACAGCAGTAAGGCAAGAAAAGGAAATAAAAGATCTACAGATTGGAAAGAAAGAATTAAAACTGTACTCACAGGCACTTTAGAAAACTCACAGAATCTATTTAAAAACAAAACAATTTTGCATGGTCTCAGGATATAAGGTCCACCCACAGAAACCAATCATATTAACATGCTATAAGTGACAATTAGAAATCAAAATTTAAAATACAATAAACGCTTAAAATGTAGGTAAGAATCTAATAAATATACATAGGATTCATATGCTGGAAACTATAAAATGCTGATGAAAGAAATCAAAGACCTAAATAAATGGAGAGATATACCATGATCACGGACAAAATAAAAATGTCAATTTTCCCCAAAAATGACTGATTGAGTGTAACTCTTACTGAAATCACAGCAATGTATTTTTATAGATCTTAACTTTTTATGTGAAACGGAACCAGAATAAACAAAACAATTCTAAAAAAGAATTGGAGAAATTTCACTGTAATTTTAGGACTTACTATATAGTTGCAGTAATCAAGATCATATGGTACTAGTGGAGGGATAGACACAAAGATCAACAGAAAAGAACAGAGTCCAGAAACAGACCCTTCCAACTATGGCCATGTGATTATTTACAAAGCTGCAAAAACAATTCAACAGAAGAAGGGTCTTTTCAGCAAGTGATGTTTGAACAAAACAGAAACTCAACCTAAACGTCACACTTTACATAAAAATTAAATCAAAATAGATCATAGAGCTGGGCACTAGTGGCTCACGCCCACAATCCTAGCTACTGGGGAGACAGATATCAGGAGGATCGAGGTTCCAAGCCAGCCTCAGCAAATAGTTGGAGAGAGTCTATCTCAAAAAATATCAACACACACATACACACACCCCCACAACA